GTTAGTGGTAGTGGTAGTAGTAGTAGTAGTAGTAGTAGTAGTAGTAGTAGAGTAGTAGTACTAGTAGTAGTAGTAGTAGTAGTAGTAGTAGTAGTAGTAGTAGTAGTAGTAGTAGTAGTAGTAGTAGTAGTTTGTCACCCACTAGTAGTAGTAGTAGTAGTAGTAGTGGTAGTAGTAGTAGTAGTAGTAGTAGTAGTTGTAGTCGTGGTGGTAGTAGTAGTAGTAGTAGTAATAATAAATAGTAAGTAACAAGTAGCAAGTAGCAGTAGCAGTAGTAGTAGTAATGGGAAAGTTGTCGTCATCGTTGTCGTGATCGTCTGCGACTTCGGTTCATTGGATACCGGAACTCTGGATTCCTCCACCGGTGCGGAAAAGTGGTCTGGGAAGCCAGTGCTTGTTTTGAACTTCGCCTGGACGCACAAACGATCCGAGTATGTGCCACGAGTGCTCGTTCTCACCATGTGCATGTTACACGCGGCTTCGCGACATCAGTTTACACCAGTCTTGGACATGCCGGGCCTCGTAAGAAAACGCCGTGCAGCCAACTTCCTTCCTCAAGTCGCAGCGGTGCGTCTGCATTCACAGACTCTGCTGGTTTGAAAATCCCTGCTAAGGGAGGTTGTGCTGGGATAGGCCTAAATTCGCTGTGGCAGATACTCCGTTTCCCCTTGTCAAAGGTGGCAGAATGCCCCGCCAAACTTTCGAGCCAGTAGACTCTAGACGGCAGTCTTTCATATGCAACGTTTGCGCATTTAAGAAACTCTGAAATAAAACAAGCTTTCTGAGATGAGTGCAGGTGCTCACGAACATATGGGATTCTCCAATCAGTCTCTAACGCACGCCAGCTGTCGTAGGTATCCGCCCTGTGCCACTCACACACTGTTGTGGTCGCCTGCGAAGGCAAAACTGACCACTAACCCTTTTGCGAGAAGCTCCTGCTTCAAAAGCTCAACATCAATGCTAAACCTGTGGCTTCGATGAAATTGCCTCACGGCGACAAGCTGCCTGTGGCTAATTGCGCGATGGTCAAGGTTCTGTGCCGAGCATCTCCATGCCGCGGCGTATTTCTGCAGCATGGCGCCACTTCCCGGCTGCAGCCGTTGCATAAATCAAGGAGTCCAGGGACACCTGTTCGCTTTGCTTTCTGGGCGGGGTGCATTTTGATGCTTGGGAGGATAGTAGGGGCGGTGGCTGTCAGTTATGGTGGCCTCTGTAGCCACCATTCGAAGGCGAGGGATCTCTGCAAGCACTTGCCTGAGTGGCTTTTGCTAAGGCCGACTCGGGTCGAATTTTTGCAGCTCGATGTCGCTTGGCTCAACAGTATGCAAGATGCAGGATAGAATGCCAACTGCATCCTCCTGACCAGGAGGGAGGTATGTTGCAATGCAAAGCCAAGCTTGACTGTTGGATTCCTCAGCTCGTCAATTTGTTACCGAACTCTACTGTGTCCTTTGAAGCAAGCGCAAATAGCAGCATTGTGCGCCATGGGCTCTACCTCAGCCGACATACCGCAACTGAAAGACGGTGCCAGCTCGTACCACCTTAACAGTTAGCAAGAGCAAGAGCTCATAAGCCTTGGCTTCTGAAATGACAATGACGTGCTTGCCTTACATGCCAAGCAAGCCACAGGTGCAGGTGACAGCGCTGGCAGAAATGGCAGCAGAAGGACTGCCTCAGAGGGCACGAGGAGGCCATACCATGCTTAGACACAGCACATGCAGCGCTCGATTCCCGGAGAGCTGTGCCAGAGATGGCAAAATTCTCTTCTGATCTACAAAGGTGCCCAAGGAGGATTTCGTTTTCTGCTGCAAGCTGCTCGAAGCCATTGGGCTGATTTCTCACAGGAGCTCGCTGTGGCATTGAGCGAAGTCTCGTCGCCTCGATCCAGGTGTGGTGCCACGAGATCCTAGAGATCCTTCCTTGATGTGGATCTTTTGCGTGGTCGCAAAAGCCAAAGAGCAATCAATGTCTAGCCGAGGGGCGCTTAATCTGCAACGAGGCCATCGCCTGAAGTCAAGGGCTTGCCGATTTGCGGTCTTCCAAGGCAGCCCTCCAAGCCTCAAACACGTTGAGAGCGTGCAGCCAGCTGAAGCCCTTCTCGCATGCGGAGATCCCCGAGTTGCAGCCTGATTTCTGCCGACGTGCATGATTCGGACAGCTGGGAAACCACCAACGTCCGACGGCCAATGGCAGGCTCCCATGTTTTTATTTCTTCTCCGTCCATCATTCGAAGCTTTGTTGCTGCCGGCTTTCTTACTGTGGCGTCATTTTTCAGCAGCATGATAAAAAAACCACACCGGCTTGCAAGGGTTCTTTTATGTTCTTTTGACAGCAGTGAGAACTTCCAGAAGGGCTCAGACGTCAACAATGCTTCACCCGTCAACACAGCCAAGCAGCAGGTCGTGTTTGGCACCATGGCTGCAACCGCCATGCAACTCACAAGCTCCAATGCCCAATTCCATTCGGAGCCTTTCTCGCAAGCGTTGATCGCTGCACCGTAGCCCACCTGCAGCTTGAGGTGATCCGACGCATTTTTGTCATGCGAGTAGCAGCCCACACGTAGGCGCCTCATTGCGGAGCTGTGGCGAGTGTACATGCAGCAGAGCCGTAGCATGGCGCCAGACTCCGTGGCAGGAGTTGATGACTGTGGAAAGGCTGAAGTGATCCTGCGTTTGAGCGGATGCAACTTCTTGACTGCCATGATCTACCCGGCATCGGAGTTACTTGAAAGGAAGAAACCAGGAAAACTCGACCACTTGGTGCGGTGCCCCGTGTTTGAAGAAGGCTCATTAGCTTCGGGGACATGCCGAGACCCTCAGCACTTGCCAAAGCCGGAGAAGCGTTCTGCAACGAGCCCGAAGCCGATTTTGGGTGGCAAGGGGTGAGCATCATGCAAGGCCCGGTGAGGTAAGGACCCATGGAAACTGGCAGGCGAACGTCGTTGGAAAACACTGTCCGCCATTCACAAATGTGGCTTCAAGCACATCTGCCGTGTGAAAGCCTTGTCGAGCAATTCACATCTACAGAACCTTTGGGGCCGGGGCTCGGCACAAAATTAAGCCGTAAAGCCACTTTTGCTTTTCCTTACCCCTCCACAAATCCTTCCCAAATACTGTCGCCAACTAAAGCAGTCAAAACGCTGGGAGCAGCCGCCACAGCGGCAGCGCGCGGAGTAGCGACAAGCTCTGGAGCCAGGATGCACAAGCGTTGAGGCTGCCGTTGCAGGTAAACAAATCTGTCCCCACCTCGCGGCGGTGCGGGATAAGAAGCGCAAGTGCGAATTACCATCTTATGTTGCTAGCCTCCGATAGCAGCATACCTAAACAATTACTAAAAGAAGAAGGACTTCGAGGAGGACGTGCGCGAATCTTCATACTATTATATATGCGCATAGGTGTATGTATGTATGTATACATACATACATACATACATACATACATACCTACATATGTACTTATAGTTTATGAGTATGATAACCCCCTGCTGACCCACGTTTCCACCTATTTAGGTAAGAATGAAATGCTATGTATCCGAAATATATGCTCCGAAAGAAGCGTGAAAAGGACGCACATCGGACCTACGAAGCTCAACATGCGAATTTGCAAGATTGTATGTTGTCTATGCTTTGATAAATTTAATTTCTTTTTGGGGTTCTCTGTTGCAGGTGTTTCCACATATGTACATATCTGCAACATTGTCGATATTCCCCCAAGATAGATAGAGCCGCAGGCGCATAGCAACGCAGGCATTTTCAGTATTCCCAAAGACAGATAAGCAGATAGATAGATACCTGTTTAGACATATAGATACGTCTTGGTCCAGAAGCACAGCATACATAAAACTACATAGCTGCTTCACTATCCGGCTTTGTCTTGAGATTCGCTGATGTGTGCCTATAAAGAAAGTAGCGGATCCTATATCTGGGGATGATGAATTTCAGCGATTGCTCTGTGTGTGTACGCCAACCACGACACAACATGCATGAGCATAGTGAAAGGAATAACACCATCTTTCTGTTGCCGCTGTTGCAACCATATGATGGATGAACCTAGGTAGCCGTATGTGTTTCTACCACAGCACATAAACCGGATACAATGCGTTTTTTGAGCATTCCATAAGAAAAGCATAGAAGTACATACGCCTGTGTGTGCATGTGCAAGTATATATATATATATATATATATGTATGATATCATGTCCGTAATTATGCACACATCTTTACACTGGCCATGTGTCTGTCTCATTCTTTTGCAAGAGTTTCCTCTCGTGCCCGAATACATCATTCTTTGAGCTATGACGAAAAAACGGAATTGTTGGCAGAATGTCGTAATATGCGGCTTTGTGGTGTGCATGCTCACAGGCACCTGCTGATGCGGTAACACACTCACACACACACACACACACACGCGCAAGCAAGGCGCAGAAGAGCCCACTGCGGGTCAATACAAGGGGGTAGCATACATGTGAATGTATACATGTATCTGCACACCCCCCTCCCCCCCACCCACGGTATCCTCCCCACCTGCCCCCCCCCTTCTATGGGGTGGGGCCTCTGGTGGTACCTTTCCCCCCCACCCCCCCCCCCCCAATGTGGTTTCGTTGTTGTGGTGGGCTGTGCAACGCCCTTACCTGAGGCTTTGGCTGGCCTTGTTCGCAGTTGTGCCTGCTGTGGCGTCGACAGTCGGATCATCTTTTTTGACATCGTGCTCCACATCATCATTGTCGTCGTCATCAACCCTCTTTGTAATTAATGTCTGATGCGGCAAACTACTGCGCAAATTGCCCCTTTTTGCACGGAGCATGGGTGCCATAGGGCTGCCATAGCGGTGGGCTGGGGCGTTTTCCCCAATCCGCGCAGCAAGGGGCAGGGTGGGGCGACAACCAAGCGGCAGGGGTGAAGTAATATAGGGGATGGGAGGGCGGGATATCATGCGTGGGTGGGGGGGTTAAGGGCCCGGGACCCGAGAGCATATATGCATGTATGTATACGCATATGGTATACATATGGTATACAAAACCACACACACACACACACACTTACATATGTATATATATATATATATATTTTTGTTTTTCCTTTATATACCCCATGAACCACCGACCCTCGTTCTGTATCGTAAATACCGTGATAAACCAGCTTTTCCGGCAGGTCCGGATTCGGTATCTCTGAAAAACTGCCAAAACCAAACTCACATTTCAAGAGAATGCGCCAGGCAACTCGTTCAGGTTCGACGTGAGCATGCACTCAACGGCAAAACTGTACTCTTCCAATGGCAACTAACCGCCAAGCAACTCGTTTAGGTTCGACATGAGCACGCACTTAACGGCAACACTGTACTCTTCCAATCAAAAACCTATTGCTTCCTGGGGAAAACCCACAAAAACCATCTTTGGGGAACTATACGGCCAGGCTCCAAACGACGTTTTTTTTTTTCGGTTTCCTTTGAGGAAAAAGATGGTTTTGGGCCACAAACCCAACTATTTTTTAGGAGAACAGACGGTTTTGGGTCGAAAACCCAACTTTTCTCTAGGGAAAACCATACCAAGCCTTCTATGGATGGCCTTGGGGCTGCTGACAGGGCGACTACCATTGACATAACGGCTTACAAGGACATGGTTTTGGTTGATGTTGTTTGGACTCAAGAGTCAATTAACGATCCTCGTATCTAGAACAGGTTTAACCTTGGGGTTAGCATGTGTATATACACCCGCATAAATGTACAGACAAGCATACGGGCAAGCCCGAAAACAAATCCGAAATGATCATATGCTACAATGTTTGGGCAGCGCCAGAGCGAACACAGGAGTCATCGTGGCTCTTAATAAGTATCGTTTTGTGTCGTTTAATGTTTGCATGAATGTGACGGCTAATTACCATTGAAGTAAGTGTTAGGCAAGTACTTGACTTACCTGTGCTCATATTACCAGTAAACAATGTGAGGGATGCCATGACTTCGAATTTCGGGGACTTGAATGCTCGTGCAAGGGATCCCACAGCTACATCTGGATTAAATGCATAACCCGTTGATGAGGCCAATGGTCGGGGCTTCTCCCCAACAACCACTGTTTGGGTTGCTGTTGAAGGAAGTATCCGGTGCAGTACGAAGGTTACCAATGCGAACACCTTGTGGGTAATATTAGGTTTGCGAGTAAGGTCCATTTTGGAGTCATATCCAATATCAGGGCCAAGAGACTGGGGGGGGGGGGGCAATCAGGCTCATGTATGTTATAATGTTAACTTTCAGGTCGATATGGCAGTTAAAGAGGGAATGTACAATGGATTCACCCATCCATAAACTCATAACTTTAGGGAAATTCTCCCGAGATACTTGAATTTACGAAAAGGTCAAAGAACCAACTACTAGGTTTGACCGTAAGTGGACTGAGTACTTGCTTAAACATGTTTGAACAGGCGAGCTGTTGACATGACGATCATCTCGCTAGTTTTTGCTCCCGCATGGCATCATCTCGTCATGATATAAGGGGAAAAGTCAGGAAGACTGTGTAACCAATTCGGATCGGGCTCTGTGTACATGACGACGACCTTGTCCTGACATACACAGAAAACTGAGGAGACATGCATTTAGATAGACTCATGTGCAAAGTAAAGACACTACTTTGGCATCGGTAATGGGTTCCTACAAAAATACGGCTAGGCTGCTACGCGAGCAGAGAAAATTAAATGAAGATTCGCAGGTCCGCAGATTCGAAGATTCTACAGACCCTATGATCTGAGTCTGGCATCTGTCTGATCTATATATGTATAGAATTATGTCTGCGACAGCAGGAAACGGGATCGAGCCGGCTGCGAGGGCCATCCTCGTGACAGTCGACGATTTCGGAGGACAGGACCGTCACCTCTCTCAAGCTCGACGAGTGACTTCATATCTCAAACACGGCAGGCACACCAGCGACTGCTTTCTCTGGTGGGGGAAGGTTGCTGACACGGTGCGCATCGGAACAGAACCAACCCGCCACGGTGCGGGACCATGCGACGTGTGTCGATGTGACAGCCAACACTTCTGCAAGGGACAGATCCGCACCACACTGAAGGGTCTTGAACAGTGAGAAAGGGAACACTACCACCTCAGGTGTAGCAACAGTCACAACACAGATGGCAACACAATGAAATAGCGAACTGCAACCATATCTTTGCAGAACACACTGCCCCACTGCCCTAGTTTGCTAGCTGCTCAGCAGCCAGGGCG